GATAAAAATTTTCTAAGAAAAGCGCGTTTTAAGAAATATATACGTACAAAAATGAAGTTCAAAATTATGTATTTTTAATACAATTTTTCCAGCTTAAAATTTTGCATAATTTACATAAACATTATTACAAATTGTACATAATTAAAATATAAATTAAGATTCCCTTTGCGACATTGCTACTATTTGCTACATACATAAAATATGAATTTTATGTCTTCACAATTTCTCAAAATTAATGGAAATATTAGCTCAGCAAGGAAATTTTGTTTTCTTCCTGTACAGATTTTTAGCAAGAAATACGAACTGATTTCCAGCCGCGATAATCGTATTAAATTTCATCAATCTTTTTTGGGAAAGATTGCTTAAAAAATTATATACAAAATTAATATCAAAATTATTTAATTATTTTTAATAAAATGGTTTAAGGTGAATGTCACAATTTTAAATTTGGCAAAATTTCGTAGAAAAAAGTATATTTACAGATTGATTTACAGATTTGGTATTGATATCAGATTTGCAGCCAGAAATGCCAACTGATTTCCTATCGAGATAAGTTAACATTTTTTAAATTAAACCATAATTATTTTTTGGGAAATGTGTGCTTCTAAAAATTGTAAAATTATAAAAATTAATATTAAAATTATTCATTTTTAACAAAATTGTTTACGGAAAACGTCACAAGTTGCAAATTTGCATAATTCAAATAGTTAAAAAGCGTACTTTTACAGATATGTAATGTATAGACGGTCTACATACTACCAGTGGCCGCGGAAGCCGTGGGACATGTGGGGACAATCATATTGAAGGATAGGGGAGGGAGGGAGGGATTTATATAAAATGGACAGACGATGGGGACATCGAATAACCGTGGGGACATACACGCTTCTGCGGCCACTGCATTAAATATGCTATAGTTGTATCCGCGGGCACTGCATACCACGATTTACACATGACTTACACCCTTCTCAATTTCATAAAACGTCGCAATTTTAAATATGTAATTACCACTTAATTTGTGGAATCTTTAAATAAAATACGAATTATAAATATTCATAATTTCTCAAAATTAAAGAAAATGTCGACTCCGCATGAAAATTCTGTACAGATTGTTAGCAAGAAATGTGAACTGATTTCCAGCCGAGATAATCATGAATCATTTTATTACCACCTTTCCGGGCGGTAATAAAACGTCACGGTGCAAATAATGAAAGCGAGACAGGAACCAGGATACAATAAGAGAGGAAGAAAAGTGATACGTTTTTGTACATCTTTTTCATAAAAAAGTATCCATTATTTTTTAGCAGGGTGAGATATGGTATGAAAATAAATTCATAATTCTCCCCCCTCCCGACATACTCGTAGAGCAAGAAAGATGACAACATTTTTGCATACCAAACCCAGCAGTGTTTCGCTTCTTGCGGACGCGGGTTTGTCATATTTTTTGCACTAGATAGAAATTTTTTGCAATGCAAGAAATGCAAGGTGCAAGAAATAAGCGCCATCTAACCATGCGTCGTATGAAGTATTTATTGTGGCGGGATTTAGTTTCTCGTGCCGTGAATTTCTTCCAGGTCAAAATAACTGACATTTTTTGCACTTGAAAGCAAGCCACGCAAGAATTGCGAGGTGCAAGAAACTGGGAGAAAGTGCAAGAAATAAGCGCCATCTAGCTACGCGTCGTATGAAGTATTTATTGCAGCGGAGCGTCATTTCTTACACCATGCGTTTCTTGCAAGTCAAAATACTTATCCTTAGCTGCAAAACAACTATTTTTTTCAGTCATTTCTTGCAAGTGGTTACTTCCCAGTGTTTCGTTTCTTTCTTCTAGGAAAATATGTTTTATAAGGATTTTGACGTCGATTTGTGATATTTTGAGAATAAGAAATATTACTAAAAAGAAAACCAGGTAGGACGCTAATGGAATTGAGTTTTTTTTTTGGGCGGGGGGTGTAGTTTCTGGCTCCTTGTATTTCTTGCTGGTCAAAATACCTGCAAGAAACCACTTCCTTCCCCTTATTTCTTGCAAGGATACCTGTTCACTTTCATTCATTTGACTGATTATGATAGTGAATGAAAATGAATTTCCTGTGATTTAAATGAAAATGAGTATAAAATTCCGTCATTTCAGATGAATGACTGTGAATGAAAGGATTTTTCACTCATTTCATTTTTCACCCTATGCTTAATACATGGGGCGAAGTAAGAAATGAAGTCGGATGAAGTGAAATGAAATGAATTTGAATGAAAATGACTGAATTTGAATGAAAATATTACTCAGAAATTTGGATGACTGACTTTTGAATGAAAACTAAATTTTTGAACAGGTATGCTTTCAAGTGGTTATTCATTTACTTGCACGCGAAACACTGCCAGCATGGGCCAAAGAACTTTTGCCAAAATGAAATGTTGCAATTATTACGAGCCCAATTACTGCTCGCACTCGATTCACTCACTTGCATAATAATAAATAAATTCTGGAAATTCTACATTGCAAAATTATACACAGATTTTAAACCGAGAAACCATTTTAAGTGCATCATTCATATCATACAGTGCAAAAAAAAGAAACGTGGAGCCGATGATCCTAAAAATGTATAATGAACAGAGGGCGGATATGTATTTATTCATTTTTAACTTTTTCATTACATAAAAGACGACTTGTAACACGGCTGTAATTACAATTTTAAATTTAAATTGCTTTTAAACGTTTTCAAAAAAGTAAAAATAATATTTTCGATGCTAAATTTAGAATCTATTAAAGTATGGTTTTTTAATTAGTTTAACAGAATCAGTTTCTCCAGATTTAATTATAATTCAATTATACTTTTACACGATAATTATGCTAAATTTTAACTTGCGACGATTATCTTTTCCGAAATTTCGTTTTTACGAAAATTTGTTTAGGAAATTTTTATACTTTTTTTGACCAGGAAATAATTATAACATAATTATTACCTCAACTGGAAATCGGCTCGCATTTCTGGCTAAAAATCTGTACCTAAATATTCATGTGGACTCGGTATTACTCCAATTCCATTAATTCTGAAAAATTATGTATGCTTGAAATTAGTATTTTATGTAAGAATGTCACAAATTAAATATTAATTACATCTACATTTAAAATGTTAAATTGGCAAGTTTTTTTCAAAATTTAAGCATACAAGTATGTAAATCATTGCAAGTATCGATTAACAGCAGGACTCTTTTAGCCTTGGATCTGTAAAAGTACAATTATAAATTAAATGAAATGAAATCTTGCAAAATTTTAACTTGCGACGTTTATCTTCAACAATATTCAGATTTTGCAAAAATTCTTATTCTTCTAGTTTTTATTGTACATATTTCGTAACCATTTTGTTTCGTGTTGTTTTCACAAATTCGGAGCATTACATTAAAAAAATAGAAATTTTGCGAAAATTATTCTATTATTATTTTATAATAATTATAATTATTATTCAATTTTTTTCGTATTTACATATTTCGTCAATATTTTTGCGTAATTTTTTTCGCACATATTTATTACGTATTTCATCCATTTTCGTCAATGCTTATCCGCCCTGTGATAATAATGGAATAAAAATGTAATGTTGCAAAAATTATGAGAATGAGAGTGCAAAAAAGAAGAATGGTGGTCTCTGGTCTCCCTCCCACCCACTTATTTCGTGCCCATCATCATCCAAAACCACGCTGCTAAAAAGATCACGGCTTTTGAAGATGAAGATGAAGAGAGTTCTTTATTCTGCACGGCACGAATATTACAGTTACTTTTTTGCCTCAAGCTGCTGCAGGCAAAAGAATAGCAATATTTGTGCCTGATGAATTTTTAAAAGTTGCAAATTTTACCAGGTGGGGAACTCATTTTGCAAATTTATGTAATTGTTAAAAGAATCGCACTGGCAGAAAGTTTTGTGCCTGATAAATTTTAAAAGTTGCAAATTTTATTATTTGAAGGACTCAGTTTGCAAATTTATGTAATTGCTGAAAGAGTCGCACTGGAAAAAATATGAGTGCCCGATGAATTTTAAAAGTTGCAAATTTTACCAGGTGGGGAACTCATTTTGCAAATTTATGTAATTGCTAAAAAAATCGCAGTTGGGAGTCGCAAAAATATTTGTAACTGATGAATTTCAAAAATTGCAAATTTTACCAGGTGGGGAACTTATTTTGCAAATTTATGAAATAATATGCAATTGCTCAACGGCATTTTCAGGTTTTTGGGAATAATCAAACTTTCATTAAAATTTAGATATCAAACTGATTGGTGGCTTCGAGATTTTCGATTTTCTTCTTAAACTTAAATTTCCGGCCACAATCTGGAGTACATTTGTTACAAAATTGGGAACTTCCTAGTCTCCAAATTCGTTGGCCAGAATTTTAAAATCAATTCGCAAACCCGAGGAAAGATTTCTTTTAAATAGTTGATTTCACCCTCTTGCTTTTCCTTCATTCGTAAACTTTACAAAATCTCGCCCACATTTCCAATCCAATCCGACTTCTCATCTAATCCATCTTTTCATCGATTTCTGTAAATCAAATTTTTTTCAGTTTTAATTTTTCTACCAAAATTTCAAAATTTCCGCCCAATTGAAACTGATTTCTGTCCCTTTTTAAATACCTTGAATTTTCTTTTCCTTTACGTAAGCTTTACAAAATCCTGTTCACATTTCCAACTCACTCTGATCTTAAATCTCAAGAAGAAGTGGTTGCAAAATCTCACCTGAATTTCCAACCAGATCCGAATTTACTTTTCCATTCTCAATTTAATAAAATCAAAATCCGGTCGAAATTTAAAACTCAAATTCATTTCATCTCAAGAAAAAGGGGTTGAAAAATTAAATCTCACCTGAATTCCCAACCACTCCACGGCCCATCTACCCGTTGATCCATCCATCCATCCAACAATGAAATCCAACCTCACCTGCACCACTAACCACCACACCATCACATTGTTACCTTTCCTTACCTTACCTGCAATCTCAACCCTTTAGTCGTCTCTGGGCCGTGGAGTGAGGTGCATGCACAGCACAAATTTTTCGAGTGGATTGAACTCCTCATAAATAGTTGACTGCAACAACAAAGATGTTGACCACGACGAGACCCAGGCAGCAACAATCTGCTCCTTCTGCTCCTCGCCATGGAGGATAATAAACCAACAAAACAAAGCAACGGTTCCGGTTCCGTAATAATATTTCAGTTCATTTTTGGTTAAAAGTTTTGGTTTTATTTAAGAGTTACTCTCCCGAAAATTGTGTAACGGGTTTTTAATTGTGGTTCGAGTTAAGGAATTTTACTGCAAAAAATTTGAAGTTGTTGTGCTTCCAGTTTGCGTATAATAGTTTTGCAAAAATTATTAAATTGTGAAAAAAACGTTAAAGAAGGAATTTTGGAAACTTTAAGAACCGTGTTCTATTTAATTGTGATGCGAGTTTAAAAATTTTAGTGCAAAAAAGGACAGACTTGGATGTTGTAGAAGTTTGCATAACAGTTTGCAAAATTATTTTCTTGTAAAAATCAGAAAGATAAGTATTTTAACAACGGTTTTTAATTGTGACTTTAAAGTTTAAACTTTTAAAACATAAAATTGTCCTGTTCTTGTCCCAGTTTGCATAATAATAGTTTGCAAAAAATCAGAATTATGAAGACGCCAGATGCAAAATAATTACGAAAACATCAAGGCTCACTAATTATCTAATACCGTAATCCCTTTCAAAAATTTGGGCACAGTTTCAAAAAATACGTGCTAATTATTTACAATCAACACTTTAATGACATCATTTCAACTTTTTGTCAAAAATTAGTTCACACTGAACTCACTCCTTGCTCCAAATTTACGAAAAACTAAATCAGTTCATCCATCCATGTGACGAATTAACTAACTTCTTTAATTAATTTCATGAATTAAATAAATGAAACCAACAAGATAAAAAACACAAAGTCGGCACCTGTCAGATCAGAGAATTGCCATACCCTTCGTCTCACTGGTGGTGCTGTTTCCTCTATTACATTTTCTCATTTGCATACGTGAAAAAGTGTTCCGTGGAAAAATAAATAAAATAATGCACATTCAAATTCACACATTCTGAAAAAAGGTGAACGTGTATCCAATACGTTTCTGAACAAGGGTGTTTAGAATTTCTAAACAAATTAACCATTCGAAAGTTAAACTTGAAAGTTAGATTTTTACACAAAAATAAGTCAATAAATGGGTGAAAATCAGCCTAAAAATTAAAATTCATTCAAATAGTTCACACAAATAAGTACTTTAATAAATGAGTGAAATTCGTGGCAAAAATCAACAAAATTCATTTGAAAATTAGCAAAAATAAGGGTACAATTTAATAAAAATAAGTAAATAAATGGGTGAAATTCGTGGTAAAAATTAGCCGAAAAATTAAAATTAATTCTAAAATGGAGGGAGACCGTGATCTAAATAACAACCTTTTATCCTCCCCGTCATCTTCCCCCCTGAGCAAAAATAACGACAAAATCCCCCCTACTTCCCCCACTCTCAAAATTTCCGGGAAGATAAAAACCGAGACAAAAACTAATAATCCACCCTTAAAAATCTCATCCCCACAAAAAGTCATGTCCCCCAAAAAACTCCCAGTTTCGATATCAATGCCCGTTTTGTGTTCAATTTTATGGATTTTTCTCTGCTTCATTGGGACAACAAATGCGGATCAAAATCAAAATCGGGATCAATTCGCACCTCAACCAGGTAAATATCGGTATTTTCATTTCTATTGTTTATTTTTTAAATTGGGTCGATTGTCATCATTAATTTTTATCCACGATGTATCGTGTCATTATGCAAATAAGTAAAAATGTACACGTCCGTACATACATAATAACGGGACCACGTTCCATCCACGGTTCATTGCGCGTTACATGGCCTCGTTAATTAGCAGGTTCACTTCATCGTGATAAGGTCATTAATTAATTCAAGTCTTTTATTAGGAAGTCAATTTTGCAAAAGTCAATTCTGCAAAAATTCCCTGTGTAAATTACACCGGGAATTTGCATTACACCGTGTAATGCAAATAATCCCCGATATTTCCTATACAACAAGAGACACACGTACGTATTTCAAACGACGGGAGAGATTTAGTCCTCCATCCCGTGTACGGAATTCTTAATGAGGAAACATCATCACCACTTTACATGCATTATTAAGTAGTTGTACTGTACATAGAATATAATAAACTTGGTTTTTGTCCTCTAACTTACTTATGTACGTACATGGCTTAATAAGTCGTCTGCAGCAATTGTCATGTATTCTTTTATTTTACCGTGCCGTTTAAACCTCAATGACCATCCAACCAATGTAACGGAACTCTTGAAGTAAATGCATTTTCTTACTTGTGAGGAGAGGGTGACAAACACGTGAAAAATCGACAATGATATAACTCCCTTGAAGAAAAGAAGAAGGAGACAAAGATAATGCTGTGAAATATGACGAATTTGAATTTTTATCTATGACATTCACGTATATATTTATTTATCTATATGTAAGCGTGTGGTGTGGTAAAAGTGCCAGGTTTTTACCGTTATTTACTTGGCTGGCTTAGCGTCATTCTGTACACATTTATTTGTTAAATATGCTAATGGTGATGTGATGTGTGATGGAGTGCATGGCTTAAAAGCACTACTCAATTTTCACTAATCTACTGGCAGGAAATATTTTTCTAGGAATATTTATGAATCGTTAGAATATGAAAATAATTGTAATTTTAGTGACAAAATCTGCTCCCTCCAAAAAACGATGTAAATTTCTGAAAAGCAGCAGAAAATATTTTTCTTTAGGAATCATTATCAGATTATGAATATTATTGAAATTTTTGGGAAAAAACATGCTCCCTCTCCAAAGAAAAGATATAAATTATGAAAATGACTGACATTTTTGCGACAAAATTTTACCTCTTCCAAAAACGATGCAAATTTCTGTCGGCTGGCGGAAAATATCTTTCTCTAGGAATATTCAGTATGCAAATATCTCGAAAATGCTATTGAAACCTTTTGCCACAAAATTTGCACGCCTAATAAGATTTTTAACAGGCAAATCATTTTTTCGTAAATATGCAAGTATATAATTGAAATTTTGTAGACAAAATTTTATTCTCCTACATAGACAAACATTTTAGCAGATTTTTCAGGAAATAAAAATATTAAGAAGCGTTTTTTTAAAGATAAAATTAATTCTGCAAAAAAATTCTCAAATTTTTCCTAAATTCAGTGACATTGTATTATTATCGTTTAAACCAAACTTCCAGTTTCTGGAATACATTTTGATATGAAAATATTAAGGAACGCTGTACAACAAGATCTTCACAAAAAAAATCCAAATTTGTCCTAAAGTCAGTGACATTAAAAGTCCAACTTCCGATTTCTGGAATATAATTTTTTCCCCTTCCCGTGAGAAATTATTCATCCCGATCGATCCATATCATACGAAAATCAGGTATCTCTCATCTTTTCATCTCATTCAATCCACCATTTCATTTCCTATCGAAAAAAAATAATGAGGAGGAGCAGTGGCCGCGGAAGTGGGTGTGGGGACAAAGGGACAATGTCCCCACGGCTGTTCGATAGGCCTCGGGTTGATTTACATAATGCATTTTGCATAACACCCATATCGCATAAAGAGAGTTTGTCTAATTTCAAATTATGCAACAAAAAAACAATTTCACATAATTTGTATGTACTTGCATAATTATTTGTTTCGCACATTTCGCACGTTTCGCCCACGAAAATTTTAACATATCCGTAGAAAATTTTTACGGTCCAGTAAAATTTGAATACCAAACGGTAGCAAGTTTTATACCGAGAAATCGTAACCATTACCAGATTTTGAACAGTGTAAAATTATGCAATATCCAATTATGCAAAAAGTTCGTTTATATTTAATCAACAAAGATTATGCAATGTGACCCTCCCCATCATCTGCCCATGTTATGCAAACCCGTCCCTCCCCTATCCCACGGTGTTAACGTCCCCACAGCTTCCGCGGTCACTGATCAGGCAAGCAGACAAGTCGCAGAATCACGGCAGCGTGAGATGCGAGGTGGCAGAAAAAAGGGAAAAATTGAATAAAAATCCGAAATGCGATCAACAATGAAACCGCAAAGTCATTCATATCATATCATAATCTGAAAAAGAAAAGACTGAAAAGCAAAGATTTTTCCGTCTTCGCCTCGATAGATGCAAGATGTCAGCTGCCTGTTTAAAAAATAAAATGTGTAGAATGATAGACATTTTCAGTTTTTAAGTTTTTCATAATTTCGAAAAATATACCATGTAAACAAAACTTTGTCCAGTTTTGGAAAACTTTGATATTTAATTCTTCCATCATCAGGTGAATGGATGCAAAATTTGAGTCAGGCACCTTTTGAAATATTTTTTAAAATTCGTAGAAAGAAAAGTAGACATTTTCAGATTCAGAAATTTTAGTAACTGATTAAAAGAAATTGGTATCCTGTTTAAATACTTAAAATCTTCTTGTAATAATAATATTATTATTTTATTCTGAATTTTGAAAGTTTTCTTAATTTCAAAAAATTTACTTACACAAAACTTTACCTCGTCTTGTAAACTTTATGATATTGCATTGGAACGTACGAGTTGTTTTTAAATCAAATCTTTATTCAAAATATTTTATAATTTGACATTAGAAACAAAAAGTGTACAAAAATTCCAACACAAATTTCTGCACTTAAGAAAAATTCTACCCTCCAATTTTATCCAAATTTTGACAAGTATAATTTTTTTAGACAAATATGGAACTGCAAATTTCTAGTATTATATCTGAACTTCTATTTAAAATACTTTATTCTTACCATTTTACAAACGACTTTAACCTTGATTTTTACAAAAATTGTACTTACAAATTTTTCCACTACGTAAAACCTATACCAATATTCCAATCTTATCCAGATTTCGATAAGCACAAAAAATATAGACAAACACGGAACAGAAAAATGCACATTTTCATACTTCTAGTATTTTTACATTTCGAAAAACTTATGCTAGAAATTTTATCTGGCACTACAATCCTATCTGAGCTCTTCTTCAACAATATTTTCCTGTCCATATTTCACAAAACGACGTCTAAACCAAGATTTAAAAAAAAATTTCCACTACTTAAAAGCCTATACTAATTTTCCTCCCCAAGCTTATCCAGATTTGGATAAGAGCAAAAAAATAAAAAAATAGGTAAACACAAAAAAAATGGAAATTTTCATACTTCTAGTATTTCTACATTTCAAAAAACTTGTGCATAAAGTAAAACCTACGATAGCTTTCCTATCTGGGATCTTATTTAAGAATATTCTGTTCTCAATATTTCACAAATCGACGTCAACATTGATCAAAATTGTAGCAAATATTTTTCCACAAATTAATAAAAATAATATTAATTTTCCTCTCTTAAATCTTATCCAGATTTTGATAATCGCAATAGCAAAAATTGAAATTTTCATAATTTCAGAATTTTTACATTTCGAAAAACTAATGTCAAAAAAACTTGTTCTAATTTATTCAATCTAAGATGTTATTTGGGGATACTTTATTTTCAAAATTTCACAAATCAACGTCAAAACTTTGACAAATATTCTAACAAATATTTTTCCTCTTTCCACCCTTTTTCTTCCCCCAATCTTATCCAGATTTTGATAAGCACACAAAAAATCCCAGACAAACACGGAACAGCAAAAATATTTACAGTTCTTTCCACTTTAAATTACTTAAGCAATGATCAGATAATAGCACAACAAGAGACCTTTTCTCATCATCCATCGTTAGTCCTCCATCCATCCATCCATTCCACCGGAAAAAATGGTCTGATAAGTGCATAAAAAAACAGTCACTTTCCTTCTCAATTTTCTCACTCGATCTTCTTCTACTTTTTCCCGTCTAAAAATCTGTATTTATTTTATTTTCCAAACAACAACAACAACAACAAGTGAGTCCAACCTGTTTTTCAAAATAATGAAGCCAGTTTCACACTCTTCTTGTCATTTACTTACCTTGCTTGCGGCGGAGGAAAATCCCGTTAGGTTTTGGCAGTGCCAGTGTGGTTTGGTTTTTCATGTCATCTTGGCGTGTATCGTATGGACGGAGGAATTCCATTATTTTACATTGTTACCCACAAGAATTTGGCAATTTTTTAGATATTCACAAAAAATTGTCATCATATTATCGCATGAAACAAGAATTTCAGAATTAAAGTACAGACATTGTTAACCGAGAATTTTGTAAAAAAACAATAAAATATTGTTATTCTTAAAGCTTCATAAATATTTTGATTCTTTACAATTTTATACATACAGGAAGAGTTGGAATATTGAATTTTTTTTTCAAATTCCTTGTCATTAAAGAATTTCAGATTTTTCAAAATTTAGTTACATTTTTAATCGAGTGTTTTGTACATTTTGACATTTTTCCTCTCAAAGCTTAATAAATTTTGAAAAATTCTATATGCACTTTTGACATTTTACACACTGAATGAGTTGGTTTTTAACATTTTTTGGAATAAAAATTCATATTTGTTAAGGTCATAATTCTTGACATGAAAAAATTTACATTTACTTTTTGATAAATAGCTTTTAAGGTCGGGTTTAAAGAAGGCAAGATTTATTGACTCTTTCTTTCCATAGAAGGTTTTAAAGAATTCGATATGAGACACTAATTAATTAGAAATTGATGGAAAATTCGGCCCCTCCAAGAGAACAAAAAATCTGTTGTTGGAAGTCTTTTTGTTATTGGAAGTGCATACGATCCGATCATGATTTGTATATAAGAAGTAATATTCATCCCTCTGAAATATTTAACTACGTGCATACGTGGTGGAGATGTACAGTAATTTTGAATCATCACATCACGTGCATGCGTTACAGTCTTTCGGCGAAGAACGGTCAATGCCTCTGTCTTCTGCCTGCTCAAAGAACTGGTAACTAACCAAACCGCATTATTATTTAGTAATCTCTCTCTTGGCAAAAATGATCCCCGCATAATTTTTTACTTAGGAGAAATGACGTAACTTTAAATATTTTGCATACTATAAAATATGTGAATTTTTAGCAATTTTTCGTACAGATTTTTCCAATTGAAATTGGAAATCCTGGCACATTTTCAGGTTTTTTGGTACTTAAGAATGACGTAACATTTTTTTAAAAAATATTTCCGTAAAATTTGTGATTTTTAGCAATTTTTCCACCCAATCTTGGCGTATTTTCGTTTTTTTGCACTTATAAATGGCGTAATTTGTAAAATATTTTGCCTGTCGCAATTTTTCTGCTCAAAATTGAAAATCTTGGCGTATTTTCAATTCTTATTTATTTATGAATGACACAACTTTTTGAATATTTTTGAATACAGAGAAATTTCTGAATTAAAAAAAATTTCGACAACATTTTTCCACTTGGATTTGGAAATCCTGGCGTATTTTTTTGGCGTAGTGATTTTCCTTTTACGTATAAATAACGCAACTTTTCATTTTACGAACTAAAATACGAACTAAAAAATGTTTTGGGAAAATTGGAAAAGTTGGGAAAATTTTTGCCAATTGTTTCTACAAAAATTTTACCCTTCCCGAAGTTAAAATCTAAATAAATTCAAAAAAAAATACATTTGCAAAAGTTTTTATTTATGAACGGCGTAACAATCATGAGGCAATTTTTTCAGCATTTTTTTTTATTTTAAAACAACTTTGTCCCTCGGAAATTACAATTGAAAAAAATCGGGTCATACGTCTATGAACAAATTTTATTTTTATGTAACACATTAAAAATTATGCAGAATTTTTAGCATTTCTTTTACAAAATATTTGCCCCTCGGAATTTAAATAAGTATACAAAAATCCGGTCATATTTTCAATTTGTTGTGTATGTAATGACGCAAATTTTCATGTTGCATATTCAGTTCTTCAGAAATATGTTAAAAAATAATTTTCATAAAGACGTTTGCCCTTCAGAATGAAAATCTTGTCCAAATTTTCCAATCAATTAATCAATTTCCATCAATTTTTCTTGCCAGGCGGTCTCAAATCCATAATTCTGTGATCCCTCCTTCCACATTTTACGGTCTCTCTCTGTAACAGATCACGACTTCCGAAATGCAGTTCACGACGCATAAGATTCCCATTCAGAAAACCGTGCCCATTTCCTTCTCATTTTTAATATTTCATATCGTGATTTATGGCATGGTCGTCGTCTCGTTCAGTGGCCGCGGAAGCCGTGGGGACATCGGGAGACATTGAAATTGTAGGATAGGGGGAGGGACGGGTTTATATAAAATGGGCAGATGATGCGGACATCGAATAACCGTGGGGACATGCACGCTTCCGCGGTCACTGCATAAAATATGCTATAGTTGTACAAGTAAACAGTGGCCGCGGAAGCTAGGGGGACATGTGGGGACCTTAACATTGGAGAATAAAGGGAGCTAGGGGTTTAAATAACATGGGGAGATGATGCGGACATCGAACAACCGTGGAAATATTGTCCCTTTGTCCACACGATTCTGCGGCCACTGCATTTTGCTCGTACTTTTGAGTATCCTGAATTCTCTCAGTGGCCGCGGAAGCCGTGGGGACATTTCCATTGCCATTGTAGGATGGGAGAGGGTCCGAGTTTATATAACTTGGGGAGATGATACCGACATCCAATAACCCTGGGGATATTGCCCCTCTGTCCCACCCCCCACCCTTCCGCGGCCACTGGTCGTCGTCCTCTCGTTATCAATAAGAATGAAAGAAGAAGAAAAAACGACTCATAAATACAAGCCGGTTGTAAAATAACGTTTTAAACCTGTGAGAAAATTCCCACGGGGTTGAGTTGAGACAATAAACATTTTTCAAATAAAGTAATAACAATAAAACAATGATGAGCTGATCCTCCGTCAATAAAATTTCATATCTAACTAATAATCCGCATCTTATCATCATCATTATTAATGATAAGTACTTATATACGTAGGGCAATATATTTTTGATTGAGGAGAAGATCAGATTTCATCAAAAAGTGAAGAAGAAGGCGAGAATTTTTTATCTATGTTGACGACACGGCACGGTCCAGTTATTTTTCAATCTCGTCTTATCACAGGGGAGGTTTAGATTAAGAAATATAATTTTCTGCAAATTACATACTGCAATTTGCACTTTGTGATTAAATAAATTGCCAAATGTTAACGTCATTTAGGAAAAATGCGAAATATGTGGAATATTGTTTAAAATTCAGATCCCAAATCGATACTGGCGGAGTTAAATTTGCATGTAAAGATGTAAATAAGATATTAATTTGGGTTAAAATGCATATTATCGAATTTAAGTTAAATTTGCATGTAAAGATGTAAATAAGATATTAATTTGGGTTAAAATGCATATTATCGAATTTAAGTTAAATTTGCATGTAAAATTTAAAATAACATATTTTGGAAATCTACAATTTACGTTTAAGAAAATGGCTAAAATTAATGCCATTTACGAAAAATATTAGAAATTAGAGGAACATTGCTAAAAAATAGATTAAATATATCCCTCGTGTGTGGCGGTGCATGTAAAAAATAAAATATTAATTTGATTTTAAGAAATATAATTTTCTGAAAATTATATACTGCAATTTGCACTTTGTGATTAAATAAATTGGCAAATGTTAACGTCATTTAGGAAAAATATTGAATATGAGTGAAGAACATTGATTAAAACACAGATTCTTCCATCCCATACCAGCAATGCAATTCACTTTAGATGCAAAGATTAAAATAAAATATGGATTTTATTTAAAATCAATAAAATGTTATGACAATTTGCAATTTCTTAAAAAAAATTGGCAGAGATTAAAGTCATTTATGAAAAATACGAAATATGAGTAAGGAATATGGTTTAAAAAATAGATTTAATGCTGTGGGAATTCGTCTTTCTTTGTAAAGATTAATATAAAATATTGACATAATAAAATAAATTTTTTCAAATAAAAATTAAGCAATTTGCCCGGGTGGCTATTAATGGGCACTGAGATTATGAGTGATGAATATTATTTAAAACTAGATTTGTACAAGTTCGATTTTCTATGTAATGATTTAAAATCATTGATTTTTTAAATACTTTTTAAATTAAAAATTATGGAGAATTGGAGATTTGCAATTTAATTAAATAAATTGGCAAATGTTAACGTCATTTACGAAAAATGTGAAGTATATGAGTAAGAATTACTGTCTAGAGGATAGATTCAATATAGAATAGCGAATTTGACTTTGTATTCAAAAATTTAAAACAAAATATTAAAAAAAGATTATCTTTATTTGAAATAAATAAAAATTATGGAAATCTGCTTTATTTTATTAACTAAATCGGCGCTATCTTAGATTTTAGCTAGAAAAATAATTTTAAACGGCCACGCGATTAATAAAATGCGCAGGAAAAGGATAAACTAAATCCGCGAAATTTTTTAATAATTCAAAACCCGAGTTATTTATGCATGCTAATTGCACAACCAATGATTATCGCGACAAATCGAATTAAAAGATAATTGTTTTCCCACATTACTCGAAATTATGTAATTATGGACACCAACAAGTGTTATCACTCTCTCTCGAACCGGCTTATCATAAGTACATGTGAGGGAGGGGTGCATATTAACCCAAATCCTCTCTCTTTACTCTTTATATAATCATTGTAACTTCATGCATTGATAAGCCTAAAAATAATGCGTTGTTATTCAGTAAGGTTTTAGCCCAAGTCAATGACTTATCTAACCGTCATATCTGTCTGTCCGTCCGTGCGGCATGATTAATAAATACAAATTAGTACATAGATTGAAATTAGTATACATACATACATTGTAGGCGTAGTAATAAATATTCATTTCGTCGGCTAAAACTTGCCCCCCCCCAAAAAAAATAGAATCGATCAATTAATTGTATACCCTTTGACTCGGGCTATATCAAGTCTGCCTTGTTGTAATGTTTTTTTCATATTCATCATGACATAAATTCCGATTTATGTAACATACACCTGAGAATTTCAATCAAATTATGTAACGAATCACTCCTCACTCAACTCAATTCAACCCAAATAGATTCAATTGGTCACTATCAAAATCAAAATCGGCAGATAAAACGTATTCGTATAAAAGAGAGAATGCCGGCACGTTGGTCATTTACTTGATCCGCCTGCCAAAGATTTAATTCCACCATGAAGTTACTTGTACTTCTCGCTGCCACTTTGGCCCTGGGTTCCGCCGGCCGGGTCGAACCCTCCCTCAAATTCGGCGTCGAATCCGGCACTGTCACCGAAGCCATCCTCGAACTCCCACAAATTATGGATTCCCTAAATTCCAAGCAGGCGCTCCAATCCCTCACCGGTGACGCTAAAGTATCCGCACTAATCTCCACCCTGCAGGGCCTCACCTCCGCGGCGCAGGCGCCCTTCGTCTCCGTCGCGGCGTCCCTCGGCCTCCAGACGCAGCAATTCTGGGCGTCCAACATCATCCTGATAAGCAACCTAACTCCCGATAAGCTCGCCTCCCTTGCATCCACCCCGGGCGAATTCACCCTCCGCGTCCAACACACCGCTTACGTCGATTCCATCGTCCACGGGCCGACCAACATTACGCAAAACGTGCAATGGGGCGTGGCCCGGATCCGCGCGCCGGCCGCTTGGACGCGCACGACCGGGGAAGGCATCGTCGTCGGGATTATCGACACCGGCGTGAACGTTGGCCATGAGGCGCTCGCCGGCGGTTACGCCGGGGCCTGGTCGGACCCCTATTACGGCACTGCCGGCCCAACGGACGTGCACGGGCATGGATCCCACTGCGCGGGAACGATTCTAGGACGCGCGAACGGTGTCGGGGTCGCGCCTGGGGCAAGATGGATCGCCTGCCGAGGATTGAACAGTCAAGGCGGGGCGACGGAGAGTACCCTGACGCATTGCGCGCAATGGATGCTAGGCGCTAATCCGCGCCCACATATTGTTTCAAACTCGTGGGTGTATGGATCCGGAACGGGGTGGTACAACCCGCAAATCGCGGCTTGGCAACAGGCCAATATTACCCCGGTTTTCGCGCTCGGCAACGCGGGACCTGGCTGCCGAACGGCGCAATCGCCGGGAGATCAGCTGAACGTGATATCGCTCGGGGCGACGACGGATACTGATGCGGTGGCGAGTTTCTCCTCCAGAGGGCCGACCGCGCAGGGATATATCGCGCCAGATTTTACGGCGCCGGGAAATTTGATTGTTTCGGCCGGGACTGGGGCTAATAATTACGTCACGATGTCCGGAACTTCAATGGTGAGTAGGCAAAATATTCTAGATATGAGCCTAAATTTATTTTAAAATCTCTATTTTCTTTAAAAGGCCACCCCACACGCGGCTGGAGCAGTTGGTAAAATACCAATAAATGCATTTAAATCTTAATTAACTTACAATGGAGGTCTCCAAGCGTATGCTCTTCCATTTTTAGCAAATTAGTGCCAATCGATCGCAAATTTAATTAGCATGATATTTGCAAAGGACGCAATCTCCCAGTGGATACGTTTGGCGCAGATATTTGCATCCTAAAAAAGAAAAAAAGCTCCTAAAGTCGATAAATTTTACACTTTCCAAATTTACTGGGCGTTTTCTCCTCTTGGGATGCAAATATCTCTGCCAAATGTGCCCATTGGGAGATCGCGTCTTTCGCAAATTTGATCCTAATTAAATTTGTGATCGATTGATACTAATTGGCTCAAAATCGGAGAGGATCCGCTGGGAGACTTCCATTATCTGAGCTACTTCCTTAATTTTAATTTCATAAATCTCTACAATTTTCGCACTAGCCCTCATCCGAGCGGTCAACCCGGGTTGGAGTTTCCAACAGATTTGGGACGCCATTGAGGTCGCGGCAGCCGCGCCACCACTGACCAACGCTGACCGAAATTGCGGACTCCCCTTCCCCCCGAGCGACTGGCCAAATTATGCCTTTGGTTTCGGACGTATTGACGTCGGTCGGGCGATTGGCGTGTAAATTTGTTATTTGTTCACGTTTAATAAAAAATCTACTACAAAATATACCCAAATTTTTACGGCGTCATTGACTTATTCCTTGGTTTTAAACTTGTTTAAATATTATTGACACGAATAAGAATATAAAATATTTTAGTCAGATTTTAACAGTATGTTTTTTATGCCTCAGATTTTGGTAAATAACTGCGACCAATTTCAGTCTCGTATCGAATGAAAATTTTCATGACAAAAATGCTTCATACAGTATGAAAACTTCACAATTATCTTCGTATCGTACCGTAAAATATTTAGGAAGCTGAGTAAAAATCTTATGAAAAATTATCACAATTTGTTCCTTGATGAAATATGTTGTTCGGTTTTCGTAAATTACGGAAAAAATATTAGAATTTGACTTCTTTCCATCTTTTTATATTAGAATAGTTTTCAGAAACAGATCCATCCAAGGAAATATAATTCGTGTAGGTAACAAATTAGGGAAGTTTATGCAGATGGGGTCTATTTTTGAATATTTTGATCCACAGAGGTATTCAAACTCCGTAAAAATCATATGCTTTTATCATGATTATCTAGAAATAAACTTGAAAATTAGGGCAAAATTTGTAACGTGATCTTATTTTGTACAGGTTTTACTCCAATTATAAAAAAATATTAAGTGACATAATTGATTTTTGAGAAACATATATCTTCATTTCTGGTTGTGCAAATTGTGACTTCATAAAAAACATATGATTATGATTATCTTCGTCTTATTTTATGGATCCAGCTAGAAAATAATTTGAAAAATTATAAAAATTAATAGCTTGGTTAAATTTTTTCATCTTAGCTTGTATAGTTTTACGCCAATTATAAAAAATATTAAGGAACGGCATTCGCTTTTGAGAAATAGATATGTAACAGAAGTCGTATGCTTATTTTTTTCTTGCAGATAGAAAAACAATTGAAAAATTCTAAAATTTTATACCTTGATTAATTATTTTTGTACGTAAAAACGTGCAGTTTTTACGCCAACTGCAAAAAAATTTAGTTACGGAGTAGTCTTTAGAGACCGAGATCAGTAGCAGGAAAATTATATTGAGTATGTATAGCATTTATGCAAATTTCGTCGTCTATTTTTAAAAATTTTGATTCACATACATAATTCAAGGTTAATTAAAGCATTGTCGAGGATTCTCTTTATCATAGATAACCAACCATTTACATTGTTCCGTTACTTTTTATCACCCAAAATCCTGAAATTTTTTACTCATTGTTGTATTCATTATCGCAAAATATGTACTTTACGAAAAAAAATTAGGGGTCAAGCTTCGTACAAATCATAATTTAATTTGATCGTAATATAATTTCATGATCCTACCAGGTTAAGAAATAAACTTGAAAAATTGTCATAATTTCTGACAAATATTTTTTGTATCTTATTTTGTGCAGTTTTTACGTCAATTGCAAAAAAATAGTAAATGAAGGAATATGTTCGAGAAAAAGATCCCTTAAGTCGATAGCATACATACACATATGCAAATTGTGGCTATTTTTAAACATTTTTATTCACACCTGTTAGATAATTCAAGGTTAATTAAATCATTGTCGAGGCGTCTCCTTATCATAGATAACCGACCATTTAGTTCCATGAATATTTACTGCCCAAACTTCAATATTTTTTTACAAATACTACAATACATACTAAATTTCAGGATGAAATAAACCTGTCACATTTTTTTTTACAAATGAATTGCATAGCATTGTGTATTGCCAAAAAATGTTGCAAATTGTGAAAACAACTGTGTCGCCGGTCTGGGCATGGTCTTGAGTTAAGACAAAATAATTATGTAAGAAAGACATCGCATTTTCTAAGGTTTGACTTTGATTCATGAATCAAAATAAAATGTTACATCCGGCAATTCTTCATAAAAAATGGGTAACCTTCACAATATTTTTTTCCCAATTTCTTATTATGGAGGAGGACCAAGTTTACGTATGTAAATTAAAGCCAAGTTTTCTCATGAAAGTGAAAACAACTGGTTTGGTTTCGTATTTTGATTCGTTTTATTTACAAATATGGAAGGGTTGGGTTGGATCATGGGAAACCCAAATGAGTCACTGGTTTAAAAATTTGAATACTTTTTAGTCTAGAAAATGCCAGTTTTGTGAAATAAAAGTGAAATTTATGTTAAAAAACAACAACAATCGTTGTTTTTATTTTTGAGCTTTTGAACTCCAAAGGTATTTTAAAGTTTAAAATTTAAACTGAAGCATTTTTCAAAATTTGAAAAATTTATGTAAGAAACTAACTTCCCCGTGGAGCATTTTCAAATTTTAAAAATGCTTAAAATTTTATTTTTTCCAAAAACTCAAAATCAAAATTGAGAAAACTACTCGTTGACAGGAGAACCATCTTCTTCAATTTGAGATATAAATAAATCAAAATTTCTCATTTTCGGAAGTTTAATGCAACAAAATTCGATAATATTTACATTTACGGAAAAAAAACTAGGAACATATCTAAATATGTAGGTTGGGTTATTTATGGGAAACTTAATATTTAAATTAATTATTATTTTAAAAATTTGAATACTTTTTAGTCTAGAAAATACAAGTTTTATTAATAAAAGTGAAATTTATGTAAAAAAAAACAATCGTCACCACTTTCGAGCTACAAACGTATTTTAAACTGAAGCATTTTTCAAAATTTGAAAAATTTATCTAAGAAACTAACCTTCCAGTGAAGCATTTTCAAATTGTGACTGATCCAAAACTTCAAATCATACTTGAGGCAACTTCACGATCTACTTCAATTTGGAATATAAATATATCAATATTTGTCATCATTGGATGTTTAGTCCCACAAAAATTCGATAATATTTACATTTACGTAAAAAAAACTGGGAACATGAATATGGATGGGTTGGGTTATTTTATGGGAAACCTAAATATTTAAATGAGTCACTGTTTTAAAATTTGAATACTTTTTAGTCTAGGAAATCCCAGTTTTCTTTCAATAAAAGTGAAATTTGTGTAAAAATAAGAGTCGCCACTTTTGACTTCATCTTCTACCCGATACATTTTAGCACTTGGAAATACTTCAACATTTTTGAAAATTTATCCTAGAAACTTTCCAATAAATCATTTTCAAAATTTATCAAAAACTCAAAATCAAAGAAGAAAGTTGTATGTATCTGGAAAGCCGTCTATCTTCTTCAACTTCAGAAATATAAACCTATCAAAATTAATTATCATTGGAACCTTTGTACAACAAAAGCTTTATATATTTCATTTTTTTTACATACACAATTCGTTAAATTCAAAAAATTCACTAATATATTTTAAACTGAAGTGCCTATTTTCAAATTTGAACACTGATCCGTCCATACATCAAAAAACAAGATCAAAAGATACATTAAATAAGCTTCAACAATCTAATTCAATTTTAAATATAATTCTATTGAAATAAATCATTATCGGGCCTTGACAGTTACCAAACTCACAAAATTTCGTTTTTAATTTTTTTAAATTCAAAATTAGTCAGCTTCTCAACAATTTGCATATATAATTCTGGCCGAATATATTATGCATATCCTCTTTTGTACTACAACCAAAATTCACATAGATAATTTTGGTTTTAAATTTTTAGTTTTTGTAAATAATTCAAAATGCACAAAGTTGGCTAAATTGTCGTCAAATCCAAATCATCCATTGTACAACCACCCACGCGATATTATATCTCTGAGCTGACGCATTTTGTGACTTACTTGGAATGCAAGTTATTAAAACGATGAGATGACGACAACCAGCAACTAATTGTTCGTAAGTAAATAACGAACCGGATAGAAAGTTTTGTTTGTTTGGTGCAACGAAGCAGATCCAATTCAAATTCAAATCACTCCTCCTCACATTCTAAATCTCTTCTAGCTTCAATCTTAAACCCATAAAACGTCGTCATCAAAGTTTTCTTGAGTTGTGTCTGCAATACAGATAATTTTGTACTCTTGAAAATATATCAAGCTTCTTTCCGCTATTAACCAATTAATATGCATGCGCACCGGATACGGATTATATTTCGACTGTTCAAATAATTCAATGAACCACTCTGTAAAATTTGTGCTAAAATTTGGATATGTATATTCCTAAAAAAATAAATTTTCAACAAATTTTTAAAGATCTGTTTTTAAGTTTTATTATTTCTAAGTTTTCCTTCCTAAAATATATTCCTATTATTTTGTAAAAAAAAAATTCGGCAACTTTTCTCAGCTTTTGTCAATATTCTGACGTATATGGCAAAATATGCGTTAAAAATTTCAATGCACTTTTAAATATTTTTAGATTTTCATAAAGATTCGTGAATATTTTATAAATTATTTAAAAATTGTGGTCACATTTTCCTGCTGATTTTTTAATATCTGTCAATATTTTCGGAAAATTTGTATACAAATATTCAAGTACAAAACATTTTGAATTATGTACATAAAACAATTGACGAAAGAGTTTCCTAAAATTGATATTTTTACCTTAGTTTTTGGTAAACTACGTGGTTTTTGGGTAAATTACCCATTTACCAAAAACTAAGGTAAAAACATGAATTTTGGTAAATATTTCCACAATTTTTTACGAATGTCATCATTACAGATTGATAAAAGAAAGAAATGTGTATCAAGTTTTTTTCGGATATAATTAATTTTAACTTTTCTGTTGCACTAAAATTCCAATAATGATTTATTTGAATAAATATAACATCAAAGTTACATCAATTTGATGGACTTTTAAGGAAAATTGAACATTAGTTTACAGTTTTTTTTCACTTTATAGGGATCATTTTCAAAATTTTAAATTTTCAAAATTTTAAATTTTCAAAATTTTAAATTTTCAAAATTTTAAATTTTCAAAATTTTAAATTTTCAAAATTTAAAATTTTCAAAATTTAAAATTTTCAAAATTTAAAATTTCCAAAATTTAAAATTTGCAAAATTTAAAATTTGCAAAATTTAAAATATATCTTGGTTAATTTTGAATTTGAAGAATTGTGTAAAAAAACTATCAAATTTTTCTTGTTACTTTCTTTGTT